GATATGTTCATAACAATATTATTAATAATAGTCAAAAGTGAGAATGAACCAAAGGTCTATCAACAAACGAATAGATGAACAAATTGTGGTATGTACCTATGATGGAATATTATTTAGCCATAAAACAAGTGAAGTACTGATACATGCTATAACTTATTAATATGTGAACCGTAGACAAATTATGCTAAATTGGATTGTAAGTTTTTATTCTGTTTTTTAAAATGAGGTAAAATTAACCAAAGTATGCAATTCACTGGCATTTAGTACATTTTAAATGATATGTGTGTAACCACCATCTATATCAAGTTCTAAAACATTCATCGCCCCAAAAGAAAACCTAACACTTATTTTCTGGTTTTTTTTTTTTGTATTAAAATCACCCTTGTGGGTACAAAATGGTATCTCATTGTGGCCTTGATTTGCTTTCCTTTAATGGCCAAGATGTTGAACATCTTTCCATGTGCTTCCTTGCCATTTGTGTATCTTCTTTGGAGAAACGTCTATTCAAGTCACTTGCCTATATTTTTTAAAAATTTTATTTATTTTTTTCGATTTTTTAGAGATGGGGTCTTACTATGTTGCACAGGCTAGACCTGAACTCCTAGGCTCAAGTGATACTCCCATGTCAGTCTCCTGAGTAGCTGGAACTGGCTAATTTGCCCATTTTTAAATTGGGTTATTTGTCTTTTTGTTGTTAAGTTTTAAGAATGCTGTAGGCCGGGTGCGGTGGCTCACGCCTGTAATCCTAGCACTCTGGGAGACCGAGGTGGGCAGATTGCTCGAGGTCAGGAGTTCGAAATCAGCCTGAGCAAGAGCGAGACCCCATCTCTATTATAAATAGAAAGAAATTAATTGGCCAACTAATATACATAGAAAAAAAAAATTAGCCGGGCATGGTGGCGCATGCCTGTAGTCCCAGCTGCTTGGGAGGCTGAGACAGAAGGATTGCTTGAGCCCAGGAGTTTGAGGTTGCTGTGAGCTAGGCTGACGCCATGGTGCTCACTCTAGCCTGGGCAACAAAGTGAGACTCTGTCTCAAAAAAAAAAAAAAGAATGCTGTATATATTCCGGATATTAAGTACTTGTCAGATACATGATTTCCCATTCTGTAAGTTGTCTTTTCACTTTCTAAATGATGTCCTTTGATGTATAAAGTTTTAAATTTTGATGAAGTACAATTTATCTAGTTTTTCTTTTATTGTTCCTGTTTTTGGTGTCAAATCTAAAAATTTATTGCCAAATATGAGGTCATGAAGGTTTACCCTTATGTTTTTTTCATTTTGAGTTAATTTTTGTATATGGAGTGAAGTAAAAGTCCAACTTCATTCTTTTACAAATGGTTATCCAGTTGTCCCTGAATTGTTGAAGAAACTATTCTTTCCCCAGAGAATGGTCTTGGCACCTTTACCAAAAATCAACTGGCCGTAGATGTATGAGTTTATTTCTCGGCTCCCAATTGTATTCCATTGGTCTGTATGTCTATCCTTATGTTAAAACCATACTGTTTTGATCTCTGTAGCTTTGTATTAAGTTTGAAATCAGAAAATTTGAGTCCTCCAACTCTATGTTCTTTTTCAATATTGTTTTGGCTTTTGAGGCCCCTTTGTAATTCCATATGGATTTTAGGATCGACTTGTCTGTTTCTGATAAAAAGACAGCTAGAATTTTAATAGGGATTGCATTGAATCTATATCAGTTTGTGGAATATTGCCATCTTCACAATATTAAGTTTCCAATCTATGAGAATAGGATGTTTTTCTATTGATTTAAGTCTTCTTTTACTTCTTTCAGCCATGCTTTGTAGTTTTCAGTATAAATCCTTTCACCTCTTTGGTTAAATTTATTCCTAGGTATCTTATGTTAGATGCTATTCTAAGTGGAATTGTTTTCTTTTTTATTTTTTTTTTCACTGCCTCTTGGATCAGGTCTTCATTCAAAATAAGGTGTCCAAAATGATTTGACCTTTATGTAATAAACAAATTTAAGAGTTTATGCAGTAGGCTTCTTTTCTTCTGTGGTAGGTTTCTTTTCTGCTGGTTTCTTTTCAGCTGTTGGGTTCTTTTCAGCTGCAGGTTTCTTGGTAGAGGCAGCCTTTTTTCCCACCAGAGGCTTCTTCTGCTTCTTAACACCAACAAGTGTTTTTCCTTTCTTCACTACTACAGGCTTTTTGCCTGCAACCCCCTTCTCATCTGATTTGTCCCCTACTGCTGCAGCTGCCTTAGCCACCCGAAGTTTGTGATTCCTGGCCTGGCGAAGAATGGTATTCCGGCGCATGGTCTTTGCATATGGGTGGAATTGTTTTCTTAATTTCCTTTTCAGAATGTTCATTGCTACTATATAGAAATACAACTGATTTTTATGTGTTGACCTTGTAACCCACAAATTTGATGAATTCATTTATTGGCTCTAATAGATTCTTTTGTGAATTCTTTAGGATTTTCTCTATATAAGATCATGTCATCCTTGAATAGAGACAGTTTTATTTTAATATTTCTTCTTCTCCAATTGAATGCCTTTTACTTCTTTTTCTTTCCTAATTGCTCTGGCTAGAACTTCCAGTACAATGTTGAATCAAAGTGGTAAAAACAGGCATCCTTGTCTTTTTCTTGATTTTAGGGGGAAGGCCTTTAATTTTTCACCATTGAATATAATGCTGACTGTGTGGTTCTCATAAATGCCCCTCATCCGATTGAGGAAGTTCCTTTATATCGTGGTTTGTTAAAGTGTTTTTATTATGGAAAGATACTGAATTTTGTCAAATGCTTTTTTGGTATTAATTTAGATGATCATGTGTTTATTTTTTTTTCTTCATTCTACTAAGAGGTGTATTCTGCTGATTGCTTTTCATATGATGAACCACTCTTACATTCCTGGGATAAATCCCATTGACACAGAGTATGATCCCTTCTAATATGCTGCTTGATTTGGCTTGCTGGCATTTTGTTGAGGATCTTTCCATCTATATTCATGGGAGATACTGGTTTCCAGTTTTATTGTGATGTCTTTTCCAGTTTGGGTATCAAGGGAATGCCAGCCTTACAAAATGAGTTAGGAGTATTTTTTTCTTACTTTTTAGTTCCTTTATGTATTCTGAATATATCTCTTACGATACATATCATTTGTAAATGTTTTATTCCAATCTGAGGGTTATCTTTTCATTTTCCTTTTTTCTTATTTTTTTTCTGTTTTTCTACTTTCCTTTTTTTTTAATTTGAAGACTATTTTTTAAAAATAAAAAATAATTATTGGTCCTAAGATACAATATTTCATTGAAAACTTCACATTTTTTGTCAATAATCTAAAACTTGAACACATATAAAAGTATATATCTTTTTTAAAAACTAAAAAATTTTAAATTTGTTTCCCTAAATTTTTTTTAATTTTTAATTTTTGTGAATACTTAATAGTTGTACATATGTATGGGGTACATATGAAATTCTGACACAAGCATACAATGTGTAATGATCAAATCAGGGTAAGTAGGATGCCCATCATCTCTAGCATTTATCTTTTTTCATGTGTGTTGGGAACATTCTAATTTCTCTTTCGCTTTCTTAATGGTATCTTTAAAGCACAAAAGTTTTTAATTTTGATGAAGTCCAACTTACCAATGTTCTCTTTTATCAGTTGTGTTTTTGGTGTCCTATCTAAGAAATCACTGTCTAACCTACGATCACAAAGATTTTTCTCTTGCATTTTCTTCTAAGAGTTTTATATTATAGTTGTAGCTCTTACAATTAGGGTTATAATCTACTTTGAGTTAATTTTTGTTTACGATGTAATGTAGATGTCCATGTTTGTTCTTTTAAATGTGGATATCCAGTTATTCCGGTACCATTTGTTGAAAAGACTATTCTTTCCTCATTGAATTGTCTTGGCCCCTTTGTTGAAAATCAATTATCATAAATGTTGGGTTACATATTATAGTTTTTCTTTTGTTTGGTGCTCTTCCCTGATATTTGCTTCCCACTCTGGTCCTGATTTATCATGCTTCTGACCTCATTGGTCTTTGTCTTTTATTTGAAGCCCTCTGTTTATTTCTTGCATTTGACCACAAGTTTAGCTGTCCAGGCTTCAACCTTTAGCATCCCTTAAGCCTTAGGTTGGAGGCTTCCTTTGATACTCATGCTCCAGGCTCCCCACACAACTCTCCTACTTGACCATCTCCTGCCATGCTTACCCTAAAGCCATGGAGGGGGAGGTAGGAGACTAGATATAGAGTTTGAATCAGGAGATAGTGTTCAGGCCCATTCAATCTCTCCAAGGATCCAACCCCTCTTGGCAGAGAAGAGATTTGCCAGGGCCCACATATTAGAATATGCTATTTGATGTAAAATAGTCACAAATGTAATGATAAGCTGCCTGGCTTCATTTATACCACACATTGATTTTTTTCCCCAGTTCTCTTGAGCCTCTCCCCACCCCTCCCTTTCTTTTTGTCATCAATTGCTGGGCCTGTCCTTCATTATATGTTTCTACTCTACCTCTCTAGGTTGACTCACAGTTCAGTTCTCCTACACTGTGACTTTGACTCTACTTATTATTTTTGTCATTCCTAGTTCATCAATTCTACCAATAGTTTTAGAGATAACATATCTCCTGACAAGACCAAATTCAAAGGGATTCCTCTCTTACTATGGTGATCCAGAAGCCACCCTACTATTGTGCCCCAACTTCACAATCAAGATCTGGAAAATTATCTGCCTTGGATGTCTGGTAACTCCCTCATTTCCTTCCACATTGAGTTTTGCTGCCTCCATTTGAAGTTACATTAAGGAGACAAATGAAGCATAAAAACATATATATATTTTAAAAAAAACATATATTGAGATATTTCAATAAGTCTTTAGTGGGAATAGAAGTCTTCCATTGCTAAAATAACCATAAAAATGAAAACTTGGCTCTTGAGGAATAATTAATTGTGTAGGTAATGGAAATAGCAATGCTATCAGAAAAATAAGTCATAAACACCCCCAGATAGAAAATTATATTAGCACTCACCTCTTTGGAAGAATGTGCTGATCATGAAGGCAAAGAAAATTGTGGCAATGGCAAAACACATCAGAAAAATAAATATCAAACTAGGGTCACTGTTCTTGAATACTGCCTCATTTTCCACCTATAAAACAATCATAGATGTACATAATTTTTACATGGAAAGAATAAGATGAAAGCATAAACTACTGTCAAATAATACAGGAAATATTTTTAAAATCTGAAATTATCTTAGACAATTTATATAGATTTTTAAGGCAGACTTTTGACTCAGCTTCATTACCATTTACAAACTATGCCCTGTACATGTATCTTTTTTTGGAAAATGTAAGTTTGGATTTAATTCTGGATCCAATGTGAATGTTTTTTTCTTTTAATAAGTGAGTTTATCTCATTTGTCATTATCACTATTATAGATAATTTTGATATTTCTTTTGATATCTTGTATCTTCTCTTTTTAATGTTTTCTGGCCATTTCCTTTGTTTTACATATTTTGCTATTTTGTCTGGATTTTCTTATCTTCCTTTGTCCAAACTGCCCCTATTTTGGTAAGTTAGAATGTAAATTTTCATATATCCAAACAGTGGGTTATAATTTAGTCATTAAATGCAAGTTGGTAATATTCCACTGTGTATATAAAAATTAAAAAAAAAATGCAAGTTGGCACATTTTAACACCAAATTCCATTGAGAATATAAAAGAAAAACACCCAAGATACCATAGACATAAAAGAATGTCCTCATCTTTCATAATAACTATTTTCAACTTTTTGTAGAGTATAAAATTTGCAATGTTTTAAAGTTTATAAAATTTTTTTTTGGTATTCCCTTTACTAATGGAATTAACCACACCCATGTCCAGTACCCAAAGACCTGGGAACTGAAAGGAGGGCAAAGCTCTCCCTGATCCTAACTAAAGATCTTAAAAAATGCTTGATTCCCCCAAGTTTCAGCAAATGCCACCACACATCAACCTGAGCATTTTAAGTGGTCAGCAATAACTGTGTTTCCATCACGTATCAAGTCTCAGCACCACCCCCTACGCAACACTAAATTTCTTTCCTGCCTATTCATAGCTTAGCACATCCTGAAGGACAAGAGACATATACCTTCATGCAGAAGAGAATGGTCATGAAAGAAACAGCAATGAAGACAGAAATCAAGAACACGATGAACCAAGCAACCCAGTGTAGCCAGCTTTCCAGTCCCATCATGCACATGTACTCCTAGAGAAAGTAAAAGCAGCAGACATGAGGCCCAACACTCAATTCCAGCTGGTCTGGTCCAGCAGCCTGTGACTGAAACCCTAGCAGACTAGGGTGAAGGGTCATGTGTGTACTGGGGGGAACTTGCCAGTAGGGGGTGATGGAGACTGAGTGAGTTGGAAAGAGAAGTACAAACCAGTGAGTGGCACTAATTTGGCTTCACTATGGTAGAGACAGGCCTTGTATTGAAATCATTCTTCTTTTGCAATGGTAAGGATTCCATTCATTCATCCATTTATGGAATGCCTACTATAAGTGAATGGCTCCTATGGCCCTGAGAATAAATCTAAACTGCTTGACATCCTATGCCCTGGTCACACAAACCTTATTGCAATTCACTGAATGCGACGTGACCTCTATGTCTTTTTTTCACATGCACTGTTTCCATTCTTTTTTCTCTCATCCTCTTTTTACCTAGCAAAATCCTACTTGATTTTCAAAACCTAGTTCAAGAGCCACCTGCTCTAGGAAGCCTTCTCTGGGCAGCCTTACCCATCCTCCACACACCCATAGCACCTGTACATTCCGTTACCTTAGCACTGGGATTCTTCTGTAACACTTAGTCTTACTGCCACGCATCACCCAAGGAAAAGGTCTGTGTCACTTGTATCTGCATCCCAAACAGACATGTGTGGCAGATACTAACATAAGTCACTCAGTCAATGTCTGGCAAATGAACATGTGCAAAGTGCTGTGCTAGGCACTGCGTGGAAGATGTGGAGAAGGTAACAGGCAAAGGTGCCGAAGACACACATGTGGTAACAACACTGAATGTGCCACACTGTAATTGCAGAAGTTGCCTTTTTAGCTGTGAACACTGGAACTAGCAGTTGGTTGATTAATCAAAAACAAGTTGGTTAAAGCAGGAATCACAAAAATGATACACACATACCTTACATTTTTGCTTTTAATTATAGCATACAAATGTATAATGCGGGCCAGTATTTGGATGTCAGAACATGATCTCTCCTCTTGCAGCCTGGGCCTGCTCTTGGAAGCAGTAACGTAATGCTCCCTCAAACCGCACACACCACCATCAGTCTCGAAAGTGGACTGAGGACGTAAATACAGGTGTGAAGAGACCAATGCAGACTACGCAAAGGCTTTTTACAATTTTTTTCCCCAAATTTTACAGTGGTTTCACCTACATGAAATTTATTAGCATGTTTTTTTAGAGATCTGCCTTACTTTCCAAAGCATTCAACTAATCTTTCAAAGGAAATTCCTGTCCGCTTCATCAATTTATATAATAAGATTTAATTAAATCACAAATTATAAGAACAAGTACAGGTACAAAGAGGTTTAGGAACAAATCTTGATAAGCCTACAACTCAGCTAGTAAGAGATGAGCCCACGTGTATGAGGGAGAAGTCTACCAGCTGCAGTGTGCAGGGAGCTCCAATCCGAAATTTTACAGAGGGGATAGAAGTGTCAGTTACTTTGGACAACTGCTTACGTGGAGATCAGTTAAGAATGCTCCAACTGTGCTATGGCAGAAATGGAAACAACATGCTGTGGGAAGATGGGATGGAAGATCGATGAAATTTAGAAAGACTTCCTTTTTTTTTTTAGAGACACGGTCTTGCTTTGTTATCCAGGCTGGAGTGCAGTGGCATCATCATAGCTCACTACAACCTCAAACTCCTGGGCTTAAGCAATCCTCCTTCCTCAGCCTCCCCAAATGCTAGGATTACAGGTGGGAGCCACCATACCTGGCCTAGAAAGACTTCTTGAAGGAGGTGAACTGCAATACAAATTTTGAATGAGAGGGTGTTCCAAACAGAGGGCTCACTTATAGGAGGAGCAGTGTAGTTAGTACCTATCTGGGGAGTAGAAAAGGAACACAATCAACCAGAACCTGCCTGTGCTGAGGAGGAAGTGGGGAGAGGGAGGGTCAAGGGTGTTACAGGTGGCTCCTAAATTAAAGACAATCTATTTTAATTTTCTTTAACCCATCCATGTAGTCAGATTAGATTAAAACTAGATCGACATGTTGGATTTTAAGAAAGAGAGTTCTATTAGTTGTATTCGGTGTTCAAAGAAGAAAATGACATTAGTGCCCCATCCCCTGTTATCCCACCTTGGTCCTAGGGACAAACTGTCAGGGCATTCTCCCTCTTGAATAGTTTCTGTATTAAAGGACTCCTCCTGGAATGCAACTTGCCAACTCCTGGGTCCTTGCCAGGAAGAGTTGACAAGTTTGGGTTGGGTCTCAGGGCATCATCTGAATGGAAAAGAGGAGCCGATCACACAGATCCTGTCAGCATGCAGGGCTGAAAGCTGTTGTGGAACTCCCTGGGAACCATCTTTGCCGCAGAAACGGAGCATATTCCTCCTCTCTGGCACATTTCATCTAAGAGTCCACCTGGAGAAGCTAAAGCTTAATTATTGGAAAACTGTTTTTACTTTGCTTAGGGAGAGATATTCTTTATCTGGGAATAAAAACTATTTTTTTTATGGCTGGGTTGTGCTGTCCCATACAAGTATTTTGAAATTTTTAACCTCTATATGTGTGAGGTTAGTTCCTCTGCTAAATAAGAATAATAGTAGTAGTTCTCTTCTAGAACTGTATATCCGTCAGGGTCCCCAAAGGAAACAGCTGTTACACTCAAGTTAGAATAATTCAAAGAGAGTTGGCTTATAACAGATCTAACTGCAAATGTGTACACAGGGACAGAAACTCTACAGGACAGTGCAGAAACCTAGGGCGAGCAGCAACAGAGTTATTACCCTTCTTGGGCCCAAAGGGATGAGAAGGAAGAGAGGTGACCATAATTCAGAAGGGGGAAGAGTCTTGTAGAGCAAGACATCTTGAGAGAACAGTGACCTTCAGTTAAGGAAGGAGCAGAGCCTAGAATGCCCTGCAGGGAGGGAGCTGGAGAGCAGCACTAGGACTCCGTCCTCACTCTTCCTCCTGAGGGCCTGCCAAGTCCTTGGGGGACACATTGGAATCCCTACAGGTCAGCCTTCAGAGCAGACAGCAAGACGCAGAAAGGTTTCCAAAAGCATTTTTTAACCTACCTTTGTCTAAAGAGCAGACTCAAGCATGAAATAGGAAATACACAACCAGTTTAGTGACTGAAATGCAGACATCTGAAGCCCACCACCTCTCTCTACCAGTGTATTGCTGAAACAATTTAACAAACAGGGAAGGTAAAACTCCATCCCACACCTGGAAACTGAAAGGGGCTCCCAACAACACACCAGAAGCTTCTAGTTTCCCTGAGGTTTTCCAGTAGGTGCAGAGCTGGCGGAAGAGCCTGCCAGTCAGCCCACTGTCCCACTGCCCTCCGTTGTCACAGCAGAAAGGAAAAGACAAGGAAAGCAAAGACAGTGCACCCCACAGGCAGCCTCAGGAGGCAGCCTCAGTCCCTGCTCCTTACAACTGATGACACAAGAAGACAAAGCAGAGAGGGAGATTAGCTCTTCACTGTGAGACATCATCAGTGGCCACCAAGGCTCAGGGACCGGCAGGCTATTTTAATATAGTCGTGCTGCATAACGTCGTTTCTGTCAACAGCAGACCCACGCATGACGATGGTCCTGTGGGATTATGACACTGCGTCTTTACTGTACCTCGTCTGTTTCTTTTTTCTTTTTTAGAAACAATAGCTTTTAATACATGTATCTAGATACACAAATACTTCCCACTGTGTGACGGCTGCCTGCACTGTTCAGTAGTCGCGCGCTGTGTAGGTTTGCAGCCCAGGAGAACAGACCATGCCGCCTGGCCTAGGTGTGTAGTAGGATGAACTGTCTGGATTTATGTAAAGCGCACTCTGGGATGCACACGTGAGTACGAAATTGCCTAATGATGCATTTCTCAGAATATATCCCTGTCGTTAGGTGATGTATGATGGTACACAGTCCTAAGAATAAAAGGAGAAGAAAATTAAAGAGTGAGAAGATGGCTGGGTGCGGTGGCTCATGCCTGTAATCCTAGCACTCTGGGAGGCTGAGGCGGGCGGATTGCTCGAGGTCAGGAGTTCAAAACCAGCCTGAGCAAGAGTGAGACCCCGTCTCTACTATAAATAGAAAGAAATTAATTGGCCAACTAATATATATAGAAAAAACTAGCCGGGCATGGTGGCGCATGCCTGTAGTCCCAGCTACTTGGGAGGCTGAGGCAGGAGGATTGCTTGAGCCCAGGAGTTTGAGGTTGCTGTGAGCGAGGCTGATGCCACGAGCCTCACTCTAGCCTGGGCAACAAAGCGAGACTCTGTCTCAAAAAAAAAAAAAAAGAGTGAGAAGACTTTTTAAAGAGAGCAGAAAGTGAGGAGAGAAGTAACAGGCAAGAGCAGGACAACAGGAGAGTGCAGAAAGCAGAGTAAAATCAGAGATTTCGGGAGCCAGTCGGCAGGATCAAGCTCGTCCTCAGTGTGTCTTCCTGTAGATGATTCCCACCCACCCTACAGCCAACAGAGTGAGCGAACTGGGGGCAACATCCCCCTCTAGGTTTATCAGTCCATCATTCCACAAGCATTTTTTGAACACCTACCCTGTGGGAGTTGTGTACTAGCTAACCAGGAAGCATGTGGTAGGACATTCCCAGTCTAAACGCAAGGATTCATGTCATAGTAACAGACGGAACCACCTGAGTTACAACCAGGTTAAAATTATGAAAGAACTTCCATGTTCCCACTCACCCTGGAGGCCACTCTGACACCTAAAGCAACCTCTTACCTGCTTTGGCCTCATTCCTATACTGTCATTTTCCCTCAGTAGCTTGTGCACAGCCCTGTCCCAGGAGAGGCGCAGTCTGAGGTAGGCGGGGTTACCTTCAGTCTCTTCTCTTTCTCCAGTCCAATGGAGTTGATGATGTTGAGCTCGATGCAGATGAAACTGAGCATGAGAAGCAGAGGGAACTCGTTCTGCAGGACGAGGAAGAACCTGTCCTGAACATAGGCTCCATACGGGAATCTCTTCATAAGCACACTGAGACTCTCAAACATGTCGGTCGATGCATTGCGAGCATGGTACCACATGATGGCTTTATCCACAGCATGCTGTATGGCCAGGAAGCCCTCTTTGTGGTATCCTACCAGAAAACGGTGAGTATCAAGCATAAGAAATTAAGGAAGACTGAAGATGTGAAACAACTGACAATCCAGATGGCTCGTGCCCAGCCATTCATAGAGCCAGACAGACAACGGTAGGGAAGGCATCCTCATAGTCCACACCTCAAAGTGTGGAAGAAAGAGAGGAGTGACAATGGAGGCCCCTGGGGCTGAGGCTGATAGCACCTATGATCAGAAAATGGGATAAAGGAGTCCTGGGAAGACAAAATAAGGGATGAACAATTCAAGAATCTTCCACGGTGGGGCCACATCTTCTCCCCTACTCAGACTTTAAGGAAAGCACACCTGTTCTAGAGTTTGATCACACAGCATGTACAGGATGGTTTAATTCACAGTGCTTGAAGCTTGTGTAATTTGCTGTGACCTATTTTTGAGTCATCATTACTGCTATAGCCTGAGCATTATGGTCACTGAATTTTGCTGCCAATTCTCAAAAACACTCCTGACCACAAGTAACCCTCTTTTCAATACAGCGTAAGTTGTGTGTTGGGGTCAGCTTTCAGGAAAAATCGGTTTGGGGGCCTTCTAAAAGATAATATCCCCACCTCCAAGGGCCACCAACCCTCTATGTGGGCTGAGCCAGGGTGGGATACATCAGCCCTGGAGTAGAGATGGCTGTGGTCTTCTGACAGTCTGGACCTAGGCAGACCCCACATTTGTCAAGATTAAAAAAGGAGGAACAAATTGCTGGTAATGAATTTTGGGAACTGTTACATATCCTTTTTTTTTTTTTTTTTTTTGAGACAGAGTCTCACTTTGTTGCCTAGGCTAGAGTGAGTGCCATGGTGTCAGCCTAGCTCACAGCAACCTCAAACTCCTGGCTCAAGCAATCCTTCTGCCTCAGCCTCCCAAGTAGCTGGGACTACAGGCATGCGCCACCATGCCCGGCTAATTTTTTCTATATATATTAGTTGGCCAATTAATTTCTTTCTATTTATAGTAGAGACGAGGTCTCGCTCTTGCTCAGGCTGGTTTTGAACTCCTGACCTCGAGCAATCCACCCGCCTCGGCCTCCCAGAGAGCTAGGATTACAGGCGTGAGCCACCGCGCCCGGCTACATATTCTTGATTGTGTGTAGGAGTATCTTCACTGCAGAACTGCTGAAACTTATCTAGAGTTACATGAAGTTAAGTACTTGGACTTAGATTCCCACTTGGTGGGCATGGCGGCCCAAGGCTTCAAGCCAGCTGTGGGGTCATTCTATAGAGAAGTGCAGTCCTAGTTATACAGGAGGCTGAGGTAGGAAGATTGCTTGAGCCCAGGAGTTCAAGGCTGCAGTTAGCTATGATGACACCATTGCACTCCAGCCTGGGTGATAGAGAGAGACCTCAAATCTCAAAAAATAATTTCTAAGAACAGTTGGTTGCCTAGAGGGTGCTCACCCTAAAGCCCTCACCAAGAGGGAGACCCAAAAATCTAACATGAATTGAAGAGCACGAGTCCTTTATGAGAGATTGGCCCAGGGGCCTCCAGTCAGGAATACGATGCTTATTGTGAAATGAAGGACATAGGATAAGTAGATATTTTTGTCCCAATACTTCTCTGAGTGCCTGAGATTGCCAGAATGAGAGCAGGGGCTGTGATGGTGCAGGCAGCTCCAGGTCCTGAACGGGGTGCCAAGTGTAGGCGTTTGCTCGATCAGGTAGAGTTAGAGCCCTCTCTGCGGGAGAGAGCAAGCTGAGGGAAAGCAGCCACTCAGCAAGGCTCCTCTGCACCTTGGCCGGAGGGCACCAGGGCAGAAAGTCAGCACAGCTCTCCAAGGAGAGAGGACGATGGCAGCCAGGGGTCAGGACCCAGCGCTGGGACTACACACCATCCTTTAGGACAAATAAGAGTTCCTGGAAAAACCCCAACCTCTAGCATTAATTTTCTGTCCCCTTATCCTGAGTAAAACGGGGAGTGGCAAGGGACTTTTCCCAGGCTAGGGTTCCAGACAGGGGGACACAGGAGCGGAAATGGGGATGATCAGCCACGATTATGAGATCAGAAGAAAAGGGAACTGGCATTCTTGCACCAGTGGCGGGGGTGGGGCAGGGAGGAGAACAGGAATCAAAGAAAGATCTAAAGCATCAGTCAGAGCGAGTAAAATCCGAGTAAAGGATGAGCCAAGGAACAAGCCAGACACAGCTCAGGGGCTCTGGAGGCAAAGCCTGGAAACATCCCTAGAAGCAGGAACCAAACCTTTAGAGCTGACGGGTAGGCAGGGAGCCCTGAGGCAGTGTGGACGACTGCCTTCTGTTTCTTCGTTATTAAATAAAATGACATACATGAAATGCAAAGGACATGTTTAGTGGAGATAGTGAAACAAGAAAGTTAGATATTTGCAGTTAAAACAGAATGTGGATGTTGAACAGGATGTGTTTTTAAAAGGATAGAACAAACGAGTAGAACGTACAGGCAGAAAAGTGAGGCCAAGACAATTTTAAATAATCATAAAGCATTGATCATGTTTCCTCCACGATGATAAATATGTCACCCTTAAATTGGCCACCCACTGGTAACACCTGTTATGGTCCTACTTGGGCCCTGTAAGTCCTCTGCCCAAGAAACACAGATGAAGCTCATGGGAGCTCAAGAGGTTACTCAGGAGCTACAGGTCTGCGGGTGGTCCTGCTTCCACATCTGTCCAACAGAGCAAGTGCATGTTGGTGTTTGCTTAGCTACCTCGCTCATCCTGAGCTCTGGCCCCTACCTACACCATCGGGGGAGGCTAGTGCAGTAGAGAGAGCAGGACATATGAATGTTGCATTCTCTTGCCTCTGGGACAGCTTTCCTGATAGTAGCCTTGGAAGCTACCATGGCATCTAGATGATTTCCCACACAATACTCACTGAAATCAGCTGTAAATTCCTTAAAATGAAAAGATACTGGATGTTTGTCTTCAAAGGGTACAAAGAATGAGGATCTGGAGAGAAGGGAGAGGAAGCCCAAGGGCTAGAGGGGGAATGGAAACTGGTGAGAGGAGAACAGGCCCAGTCAGTCCCTGGGACTACAGCTGAGGAAAGCAAGAGCCAGGAGACTTGGACAGCTAAGCAGGAGGCTAAGGATGGAACTGGAGAAAGCAGTGGAATGGCATTCCGTGATGTGGACATTCTCATTTCCCTCTCTTTCCTGGTTATGGAATACGGAAGGATTAGAAGGTACCTAATTGGATATGATATGCTAAAACAAAATAGGAAGGAAGCTTAAAATGTAGCAGGAGAAAATATGCCACAGGAAATTTTTCTCAAATTGTGGGAAGTAAGAATACCAAAAAGTGAAGCAAGTTTCCAAAATGAGAAATAATTTTCCCCAAAAAATGGAAATGAAAGAGAGGGTTCTAACGTCACATGTAGCTACAATTTTTTCAGTTAAGCTCAGAAGTTAAATACTTTTCTAGATAACCAGAAGCTTTGCCATGCGACAAATGCAAGAGCTAAGTGAGACAGTAGGTGTATAAACACATACCATAGGGCCTGATGGTGTATCAATAATTTTTGAAAGTCACTTTTAATTAGCAGCCAGAAGAGCTATTTCCCTTGGGAGGGCAGTGACTGAGGAGCAGAATGGGGTTCCTGGGTTGCTATAATGTTCTGTTTCTAGACCTGAGTTCTGGTTACACAGACGTATCCCATTTGTGAAAATTCATAGAGCTGTACCTCTATGACTTGTGTACCTTTCTGTACATATGTTGCACTTCAATAAAAAGTTAAAAAAAAAGCAAAACACTCTAGAATGCAGCATCCACACCAGACAGTTAAACAGAGACCAAGCCCTGTGAAGCAGGAGGCAGGGTGAGAACAGCTTGGCAAAGGCCTGAGCCCAAATCAAATCATTTTAAGAAAAAGTAGAAGAGTAATTATTTTATGAGAGTTTTAACAACTTATAAAAATAAGGCCTCTTAAATGGTAGTCTATAGATAGCAAAAACCAAAAATGCATTTTTACAAATATAAAAGTTAATATATACAGACACGTAGGGAAGGGATTTGCATTCCTCGTTCCTATAAAATGGTTCCATCCTTTCTCTAAATAATGGTTACAAACAATCAAATACACAACTCCAGTTCTAACTTACTCTAGAATGTAAGCATTTTACTGAATGCCACATTTCTAAATGTAGCTCCTTCAATCAATTTTGAAATGTTAGGTTAGCAAGTGTTCTGGCATCAAAACAACAACAAAATAGCATCACAAACATGTACCACAGGACAAACATGGCCGTGGGCTCTTAACACACTCAGGCTTCGGAGCTTCCTCACCAGGGTTTCCCCCGTCCGTAGATGCAAATTCCCGGGGTCCTTGGCTTGGGTTAGGAGGATAAAGGAAGGATGTGCACCAGCCCTCTAGATCATCTTCAGAAAATATATGCTTCAATGATAAATAATTCCTCTGAATGTAACTAAAGCGCAATTCATACTTAACCTACGAAAGACAAAGAGAAAATAAATTCAGTCGCGGGATCCTGGCACTCAGCAAAACACAGACAGCAACGCTGTGTGTGGCAGAAGCCGCGACTGGAGGAAAGGCACCCACTGGCCTTGGTGGGAAGTGAGAATACCAAAAAGTAAAGCAAGTTTCCAAAATGAGAAATAATTTTCCCCCTAAATGGAAATAAAGAGAGAGTTCTAAAATCACATACAGCCACAATTTTTCAGTTGCTAAACTTAGAGAAAACCTGGAAGTTAAATACTTTGTGCATAACTAGAAGCTTGGCCCTGCGAGATGGAGCTAAACAAGGTGATATGTGTATAAACACACAGGGCTGGATGGTATGTAAATAATTTTTCAAAATCATTTTTTATCAGCAGACAGAATAGTTGTGTGCCTTAGGAGGGTAGTGACCTGTGGGGCACTGGGACCCCAGTGGGGTTTCTGGGTTGCCATGGTGTTCTCTGGGTAGCACACTGGTCTTCCCTGAGAACTTTGGGAATTACCCCTGCTACCACCCTGGCAAACAGCCAAGTGGCTACTGAGCCACTTTTGGGAAGGGTGTGCTGCAGAATAGTCCAGAGTGAGGGCTCTGGAGCCAGGCCACCAAGGTCCAAACCCCAAATCGCCTCAGGCAAGTTACTTACTCTTCATACATCAGTTTCCTCATCAGTAAAATGGGGATGATATTAATAGCACCTACCTCATAGGCTGCTGTAGGATTGAGATGGTCCCTGTGATATGCTTGGCATAAACAAATGCTTGAAAAACACTGTTGATTACTTTATTAACATGTCTCTCTCCATCTACCAATACCCCATGCAAGTTCTAACAGTTAATCATTAGATAGACTATACAGCACAAAAGTTGTGAGTGATTTCTCCATTCCAAAACATAAACCAAAATATTCCTATATTTAAATGCTGCCCTTTCCTTAAACAAACACACACAGACCTACCATATCTGAAGTCAGTGGGACTGGTGTAATGACAACAATAATAATGAATCCCTCTGGAAAATTCCTCTGTGCTGAGCTCTATTCTAAGCACTTTATAGGCATAAATTCATTTAATTCCCACAACGCCTCTGAGTTAGGTACTCATATTAACCCCACAACACCAGTAAGGACACTGAGGCCCAGAAATGGTAGTAACTTTCTTGAGATTACACAGCTAGTAAGTTGCAGAGCTGGACTCACATCTACAGAGCCTGGTGTCGTTGCAATCAAGCAGTTAAACACGGACCATCCTATACTCTCAGAGTGGAGCTTGCTCAGAACAAGTCTTTTAAAGAATCTGAAAACTGGAAGGGATCTCAAAGTCTAGGCTGCAAGATGTGAAACACAGGAGCATTCTCTTATCTCCTCTGGAAATAAGATGGCAAAGCTGCCACAGAGGAGGGCTGAGGGGCAGACCAGGTAGCAAGGCTGCTTAAGAAACCCCTTCTCAAGGCTGGGTAGCACAGTGAGACTGTTATAGAAAAGATGTTCTTACCGCAAGTGGCAACGGTGCATTGCTGTCATTGAAGTTATAGTCAAAAACAATTCCTGCCAATACGTAGAAAGCTTTGGGATCATTAATTATGTCATTTTCAAACAAAGTTACCGAAGAGTAGCCTAAAACTACAGAGAAAAAAATTCAATCAGGCTGGTGTGAAGGCAAATGTTGCCCAACTACCCCACTTCTACCTAAGGAGACTTAAGATTGCCAGCTTCTCCATTCACTCACTCATTTGTTCTGCAAGAATATGAGCAGAGAGACAAAAAGAAACACGGAAGAGAGATTAAGAGACGTGACTCTTGTTGTTCAACTCAGAACTTTATAATTCAGTCTGTAGTCCCAGGAACTGTGTCTTGGAAGATCAACGTAAGCTGAGGAAGGAAGAGAGAGAATTTAAGTCCCAATCACCCAATTTGAGATCTGGAACAAGCTTCATAGTTTGTTCATTGTTAAAGAATGAGCTTTGTTCTTGTAGGACGTTTAAGTTCAGTTTGATCCTTTTAATCTGAGTTTTACGCGTTATTTCATTTTTCATTTTTAGAAGTTCTATTTGGTTCTTTTTTTTCTCCCAAATCTTCTAGGTGACTCTTTAGAGTGACATGCTACCTCTAAATCCTTTCAGCTTGTCTTTGATTTCTTCAAACCAAGTAAACATAGTGATTTTATAATCCTTCACTAATAATTCTGTCATCTGAAATAGTTCTAGTTCTCTTATGGCTTCTGTTGTTAGTACTGAGTGTCACCCTTGGCGTCTCATCTCCTAGTGTCTGCTCATCAACCTTCCTGTGCTCGCGGTGAGTCTTCTGAGATAGAGAAAGAAGGTGTATTCTTCCAGAACACATTTGCATCGGTCAGTCTGAGTCCCACTGCAAAGGGTTTTCTCTTGTCTCTTTCTTGTTTTACCAACCAGGTGATGTTGAGCTACAAATCTCAGGGCTGGTCCCTTGCTGTTGTGCTTAGTTCCGAGGCAGTGTTCCTTGCAGTCCCTTAGGAGTGAGAATGGGGCATGTTTACTTCAGGCTCAATCTTATGTTAACCACCATGTATGACGTAGGCATTTGGGCTCCCAGCTTTATGGGGAGATAGTCTCTTATTATTAGACACCCCACCTTGAATGGGCCTTAACCTTTCCTTCTTTCCCTCTGTGCCTTTCAAGGCTATGAAAACTAAAGTTCAATTTCTCCTAGTACGAGGCATGTTTTCATTAGGGCCTCCAATGACCTCTTTGGGTTCTTTCCTTCACCTAGATTTTTTAATTTAGGAAACTATCTAGTAATCTGGAAACATGTTCACAATAAAATAAAAGGCAGACAACAAAATAGCTCACTATTATAACAGGATGTTATTTTTGTTTTTTACAAAAAAGCAGGAAGCGTGCACACCAAGATATGAAATAATGAGTGAATTTTCTTTTTTCTTATATATAAGAGGACTTTAAAAAGTTCATGAAAAATATGTTTTATGAAGAAATTGCCAGGGTGCGGTGGCTCATGACTGTAACATTAACGCTTTGGGAGGCAGAGGCAGCAGGATCGCTTGAAGCCAAGAGTTTGAGACCAGCCTGGGCAATACAGCAAGAATCTCTACCAAAAATTTTTAAAAAATAGCCAAGTGTAGTGGCACGTGCCTGTAGTCTCAGCTACTCAGGAGGCTGAGCCGAAGGATTGTTTGAGCCCAAGAGTCTGAGGTTGCAGTGAGCTATGATTGTGCCACTGCACTTTTAAAAAGAAAACAAAAAATTATGCATGGATTTCAAAATTTTTGCACCAAAATAATCTAGTACTAACTTGTTGTAACATGTCTGAACAGGATCTAGTTTGAGGGACTAAAAAGGATAAGACACCAATTTGAAAAGAGCCTCTAACAGAGCAACATGAGTTCTGCTAAAATTGAAGCAATACCAAGTTAACAGTGAAACTTGGGTGGAAAAATGTTGCAATTACTGATGTTTTATAAAAAGTTTATGGAGACAATGCCACAAAGAAATCAGCAGTTTGCAAATGAATCACTCATTTTAAGAAGCAACGAGACAATGTTGAAGATGAAACCCCCAGCCTCAGAACATCATTATCAATTTTCGAGGAAAAATTAATCTTGTCTGTGCCAAAACTGACAAGGACCAACGATTAACAGCAGAAAAACCAGCCAACACTATAAACATGCCAATTGGTTCAGCTTACACAATCCTGGCTGAAAAATTAAAGTGGAGCGAACGTTCCACTTGACAGTTGCCAAAATGACTGCACCCAGATCAGCCGCAGACGAGAGCAGAGCTTTCAATAGAAGTTTTAAACCAGTAGGTTCAAGGCCCTGAAGTGCTTCTTTGAAGAACTGCAACAAGAGACGAAACATGGCTTTACAGTACAGTCCTGGAGACAAAGCACAATCTAAGCCACCACGAGGTCACCAAGAGGTCCAGAGCAAAGGTCATGGCACTAGTTTGGGGGGATGCTCAGGGGTTCTGCTTGTTGATTTTCTGGAGGACCAAAGAATGATAACACCTGCTTATTATGAGAGTGCTTTGAGGAAGTTAGCCAGAGCTTTATAGCAGAAAAACGTCTGGGAAACTTCGCCAGAGAGTCATTCTCCACCACCACAGTGCTCCTGCCCATTCCTCTCATCTAACAAGGGCAATTTTTCAAGAGTTCTGAAGAGAAATTGTTAGGCATCCACCTTCCAGTCATGATTTGGCTCCTTCTGACTTCTTTTTGGTTCCTACTCTTAAAAAAAACTTTAAAGGGCACCCATTTTTCTTCAGGTAATAATGTTAAAAAGTCTGCATTAACATGGTTAAAGTCCCAAGACCCTCAGTCCTCCAGGGATGGACTAAATGGCTGGTGTCATCGCTTACAAAAGTGTCTTGAACCCATGGAGCTTGTGAAATAGAGTTTATATTTTTTAATTTTTATCTTATAATTCCATCTTTCCACAGACTTTTTCTCCTCACTTTTTTTTTGTTCTTTTGTTTCCTTAGCCTTATTCAGGTTTCTTAAATACACACATGCACACACAGACACACAGGGTTAAATTGTGAAAAATAACATATATATAGGAAAGTATACAAAACACAAATGCTCAGTTTAATGAATAGTTATAAAATGAACACCTAAGTCATCACCCTTTGGATCAATAAATACAATATTTTTACCTTAGTTTTTTTTATCTAGATAGTTCCTTGCTATCTATTTAGTTCTTTAATGTTTTCAAGAACATAATTTTAATATTTTATCTAGCATTTGTTTTTCAACTGGAGGATTGATTCAAATAATCTAGTCTACTATATTACCAGAAATGGAATGGCACTAATCTCTTCTTAGAAATCCCCAAGAAAGACCTCACTGTCGCATTAACTCCTACTAAGTGTTCTTCCTGGACAGATCACTGTAGCAAGGGGAATGCAAAGTGAAAACTGGTTTAGACACAGGTTACATGATCCATCCTGAGCTCAGGGTGGAGTCAACAACACCAGCAGTACATGGTCTGAGAGTGGCAGAGGGATCAGACCCCCAGAAAGAAACAGGCTATGTATGTCAAATGGAGAAAGAAGAAACAGAACACATGTCCACCACAGTTTAGAAAGGATCATCAAACAGTTATTTGTCATCGCTTCTGGGGCAGAGGATTTGCTTAGGGGATGGCATGAAGAGGAAATTTACCTTTCATTCTTTATCTTGTGCTGTTTGGAATTTTCAGTGCAAAGAACTCCTATTTTATTGTAAATTTTAAGGTGTTTTTTTTTAAATGTTAAATCCCAGAAAAATACATTTTAATGCATTAAAGAATTCTTCTGGGAAGTGGGATCTGGGATGAAAGCTTTAACGTTTTACTTTAAACCTGTACTCTTTCACGTACCACCTTCGTCCTAAGGAGAGAGGAAGAAGAGGAAGGCAAGGAGCTGCTTAGAGGACATGAGAGCCGAGAAGACTGAAAGGGAGGCAGGAGGAAGGTAGAAGCAGAGGACAACACTACCTTAGGATTCAAAGGGGAACAGAATTCCAAGGAAGGAGTAGTTAAAAGCATCCTTGCTACAGTGAGGACAAATAGAAGACTGGAAAGAAAACAGTATATTTGACAATTAGCAAGACATGAATGACGTTTTCTTAGCTATCAGTACGGTATTGAGAGTAGAATACAGATTATAGTAAGTTATGAAATGAGTGGGAAATAAAATAGAAATAAACTTTCAAGACATTGATTGGGGGGGGAATTAAATTGTCTGAGGAAGGATATTACAGGAAAGACAGAATAGCAAATGCTTTCTTCTAAAGTGAAGGTGATTGAGGCTTATTTAAAAGTGAGGGGGAAATCAAACCCAGATGGAAATATTTCTCCAGAGGGAGGAATTGCTGAGAAGGCTCAAAAGAGGCAGGAGGTCTTCTGACTGATGACCTATAACTCCAAAACTGTCTTAAATTCAACTACATATTTCCATCATTCATTATCTTTTTCCTCAAGAATTTCTGCAAATACTGCCTCCTTCCAATCACACTTCCAGAGAATGGCCACAGAAATCTCATTTATAACAAATTACATTGTATAACTCCTCTTCTTGAAACCCCTTCAGTGGCTGCCTTTGCATGCAGAAGAAAACCCAACTACTTTAATGTGGCCTGCAAGGCTCTAAAGGATGTGGCTCCTCCCAGCTCTTCACAGCTCATCTCAAACCACCCTCTCAAAGCACTTCAGGCTGGCCTGCTGACTTTCGGGCCTTTAGACACCTGAGTATTTTCCACCCCAGAGCCTTGCTACTTTCTGCCCTTACCTGGGCAGCCCCTTGCTTCTGACACCCACCGCCATCCTATCTCACACGGCTTATTCTGTATCATTCTTGTCTTAACTAACTTACCCGCCCCAGAGAAAATTTCATGTTTTTTTCAAATTTCATAATCTCATATTTATGAAGTGAGTTAGAATATGTAGTATTTTAGGATACTAGACAAGCATAAAGCACAACTTTCAAAACAATGGTTTCTGCACATTTCACCACGGACAGCCTTTAAAAGAACTGTCTCCACTGAGTGGTACTAGAGCTGGGAGACGAAAACTCTCTTCACTTTGTGCCCTATATCTTATTAGAATACTTTTACAATAGCATATAGAGCAATTATAGTAATTTTTAAAAATTTTCTCCTGTGGCTTCCACATTCTGAAAAATCTTATCTACCTAACTGCATTAATCTATTCAATAAATATTTATTGAGCATCTCCTCTGTGCCAGGCACAACAGGCACAGTGGTGAACATAACAGATGTGGTCCTGCTCTCAGAGGTGGAGTTTCGTGGGGAGAGGCAGACAATACACAGAAAGCAAGGAAGTGAACATGTAATTAAACATTTATAAAAATGCGAAGAAGGTATCACACAAGGTTCTGTGAAAGAGAAGGTAGAAGTGAGCAACCTAAAGCCATTTAGCTGTCTTCCTAAGTGTCACTGCAGCTGAAACCTGAAGGACACGAGGAAGCAATGCACAGGGAAGGCTGGGGGCAAAGGCTCTAAGGACAGGAACCGACAGGCGCCAGCATGGCCAGGGTGCAGGAGCACAGGGAGGAGTGGAACAGGTAAGGCTGGGCAGAAAAGCAGGGTCAGTCCCAGAGAAGAGTCAGAGTTTACTCTGACTGCCGTGGGAAGACACTGAAGAGGTTAAACAGGGGACTGGCCAAATCCTACCAACCTTTTGAAGATCTTTCTACCTCCACATAGAGATGGGATTAAAATGGGACAAGAGGAGAAGCAGAGAGACCAGCTGGAAGGCTATGTCAGAATCTCTGAATGCTGAATGCTTTCCATTTTTTATTAGTCCGAGACGTTTAAGTGCCAATCAGACCTTCTGATCAATCAGAGATGATGGGTATCACAATAGTGAGTTAAAAGCAAATACTTAACATTTAACATTTTAATTAGCCTTGAAGCCTTGTGACATAAATATATAATTCTCTAGTGTGTTGTCTGGAATAATAAAAATACTTCATGGGCAGCTTCCCCCCAACCATCCCTCTGTAGGCTGCCTAGAATTTGCAGACCCCAGCTCTGGAATCACTACCAACAACTCTCAGGGAAAAACTTCACACTATACTTTATAAAAACACCCTCCCTATCCTTACCCCATCTTTATGGCTAACCTTCAAACTCAACATCAAAGCTTTGTTCCACCATTCCAGTGACAGCCTTCAAAGTTTCACTTTTGGAAGGGATATAAACCAGTTGAAATCTATTTTTCAAAGGAAAATGATAGAAGAATTCTGGCAGTAAACTGATATCAAATGCACGATAGTAACCAGAAGATCTTTTTCTTGGCACACTATTGAAACGAAGATACAACACAACTGCAGAAAACAGTAATGGCATCAAGATTTCAAGGATTGTTACCAGAGTCTTCCGCTTCTAAAATAAAAACAAAAGCTATGTGTTAACCCAAAACAGAACATAAGTGTAAATCACTATGTGGTGAATGTTCTTCCATTAAGAACACTTTCATTTCTTCTAGCCACCCTATATAACACATGAAAAAAAAAAATAGAATGAGAATTAGCTAGAAACATCTTCCTTTAGCTTTTCTGTAACACCAATGGCTAGACATCAGTAACAATGACGTCATCTATAATAATTAGGGTTAACACAATACTGGGGAAACATGACTTGTTTGCAGAAAAAAGCCCCTTTACAAGTAAAGGTCTTAATTTTTTTTAACCCATTATTATAAAACAATTTGAATTAAATATTCGCTCCCTCCCAAGGACTTACATTTTCCCCACATATAACAATACCCACCTTTAAGATGAAATTCTTCCAGAGAAGAAGTTTTAACTTCTTGAACACTGCCACTTTTCTAGATGAAGAGGAGGACTCATCACTAGTCAGGAAACAAATGAAGGGAAATATTATGCATGTTGAAAGTTTTACTCTTTCATTCTGGAAAACTTTTTTTTTTTTTTGAGACATAGTCTCACTCTGTCACCTGGGTTCCTGGGATCAGTGGTGTCAGCCTAGCTCACAGCAACCTCAAACTCCTGGGCCTGAGCGATCCTCCTGCCTCAGCCTCCCCAGTAGTTGGGGCTACATGAGCACCACCATTCCCGGCCAATTTTTTTCTTTTTTTGAGACAGAGTCTCACACTGTTGCCCCAGCTAGAGTGCAGTGGCATCAGCCTATCTCACAGCAACCTCAAATTCCTGGGCTCAAGCGATCTTTCTGCCTCAGCCTCCCGAGTAGCTGGGACTACAGGCATGTGCCAACATGCCTGGCTAATTTTTTCTATTTTTGGTAGAGACAGTCTCGCTGGTACTGAAGCTGGCCTTGAGTTCCTGACCTTAAACAATCCTCCTGTCGCAGCCTCCCAGAGTAATAGGATAATAACAGGCATGAGCCACCAGGCTCCACTTGGAAAGCTTTCTTCCTTTGGGCTTTCAGATCACTGGGCTGGACTACTTTTCCTCCTACCCCTCTAGCAGTTCCTTCTGAGTCTGTCTTGCTGATTCTTTCTCCTCTCCAACCTCTGAATATGAAAGTACTCCAGGGCTTAGTCTGTGTTCTCTTGTCTTTTACAGCGACACTCACTTCTTAGGCCATCTCACTCAGCTCTTAAGTTTGAATGCACGTATCTGCTGATGGCTTCTAAATTTCTACCTCCAGCCGGCACTTTCCCTCTAAATCTAGACTCAGTTATCCAATTGCCTGCTTGATGTCTCCATGTGTTTCATCTCAAAGCTGACATGGCCAAACTGGCCTAGTCATATTTCCCTTACATCAGGCTATCTTACAGTCTTCCTCTTCTCAACTAACATCAGTTCCATCATTTCAGTTAAACAGGATTATTCTTTTTACAAGACTGCTGTAATTATTTAATAACACAGGAAAATAACATGTTATGAAACAATCTGGTTACAAGTAGTAGGTAGAGGATAACTTCATTTATTATTTTTAAAAAATTAAAAAGTATAGGGCTGGGTGCAGCAGCTCACACCTGCAATCTCAGCACTTTAGGAGGCCAAGGCAGGAGGATTGCTTAGGGCCAGCAGTTCAAGACCAGTCTGGGCAACATAGTAAAGACCCTGTCTCTACAAAAAATTAAAAAATTATCCAGGCGTGGTGGTGCATGCCTATACTCCTAGCTACTTGGGAGACTGAGATAGGAGGATTGCTTGAGCCCAGGAATTCAAGGTTAAAGTGAGCTATGATCAATCCACGGCACTCCAGCCTGGGTGACTGAGCGTGACTCTGTCTCTAACTATGATAACTACATAAATAAATAAATAGTATGAACATGCATACAAGGAACTGGAAGTTTATACACCAAAACATTAACAGTATTTACTTCTAACAGGATTATTCTTGACTTCTTTCTTACAGCTTAAATCCTGTTTGTCAGCACACACTGTCGGCTCTACCTTCAAAGTATACCCAGAATCCAATCCCTTTAAAGCACCACGCCTACTCTTACCATCCCTAGCCTGGACTTCCGCAAAGCCACACAGTGAAGGGTATGGATGTAAAACTTTATGCAAGGAACAGTGAAGAGCTGGGAACAATATCCAGCTACCAAAACACCCAAAACTTAATTCTTTAAAAACTTGTGTTGTGAATTTGCCAACCTTAACTCTCACCATCTAGATGAGACAGCATTTTGGCTCATGACTATCCCAAAACAAGAAAATAAAAGCCAGAGACAATGGGAATACGTGGTTTTCTCCAACCACAGTTACCATTCAGTGGAACGGGACAGGAAAAAAATATGAGCAGATGGAGATTTTCCTACTAAGCATCTTTTTAAATTTGTAATAATAGAGGTGGGCTGTTTCTTTATAAAGAAGGTTTATTTAAAAGTTTGTAATGCACAACCATCTGTTAATGCAGCAATTCTGTATCGAAGGCACTGTGTCCAAGCAAAACGTTATCATAAAAAGATTGATCAGCCATGGACCTTATCTAAACCATAGAGCAGACACTGAGAGAGATTTCTGCACAGGACGTTCCTGGGGAACACTTTTGACCTAGTCCTTGCGGGGTGCAAAGGAGGCAGGCATGGGCAAAGAGAAGCTGGGCTGCCACACAGTCCAAACACAGGCCGTTGCCGTTTCTGCAAGGTCTCCACAAAACACACATGATGAATCGCCACCTTCAAGCTAGAGTCTGAGAAAAGGATTCAAAGGGGTCCCAAATAAGCAAGGAGGGTAATAAAGGAAAACATGTCCATGCTGTATTTGGGGAAACAGATGATCCAGAAAGAAGAATAAAAAAATGGACTGAAAATAAGCAACACAGCAACTATTCAGAATTTATGCCTGAACAACATTAGGAAAGGCCATTGGCCCCTCGACCCCACTTCTGGTAATCTATTCTATAGACACACCTGCACTAGTATGAAATAACGCGTAGATTACTCATTGCAGTATATTTATAATAACAAAAGAATGTAAAGAGCCCAGTACCCACCAACAGGGGACTAATTATATAAACAATTAAGTTATAATGTAACCTTAAATTTAAAAAGGAAGAGCTGATATATTGCTTTTCTTCTGGGATCTGTAGTAAATGGTAAATCTCTACCAGTTACCTAAGCCAAAAACCTAGGTTCCGACCTCAATCATTCTCCTTCCCTCACTTCTCATATCAAATCCATTAGTGAGTCCTCATGACTCTGTCTCTGAAAGATTTCTCAACCCATCTACTTTTTCTATATCTCTGCTATTAGCCCAGTTCAAGTCACAAAGTTAAACTGATATACCAAGTAGGAATTCTCTCCATTACAAGTAACAGAAATCCAACCCAACATAGCTTAAGCCAAAAAAAAAAAAAAAAGAAAGAAAGAAAGCAAGAAAGAAAGAAAAGATAAAAAAGGAAGATTCATTTTTTTGCCCAACTGGAGATCCCAAGTGGAATATGCTACAGAACACAGCTGAACCCATGTATTCAAGTAATGTAACCAGGGCTCTGTCTCTCTCTCCATTCTACCTTCCTCCGTGTAGCCTCTTGTCAGGCAGTCTCTGAACATACAGTGGCTGCAATGGCCCCCTGGAGCTCTAGGCTCATATCAAAAATCCCAGAGAAAAGAATGTCTCCTTCCTCCATAAAAAAATCCCAAGGAAGACTCTGGTTTGCTTTGCTTAGGTGCCAGCAAGGTGGCAGGTGGGAGGAGGACAAGGAAAAAGGGGGAGAAAGAGTCAGTACCTCCTGAACCATGTGGAATGGTTACCCCCCCAACACACACCACAATCAAAACAGTTTTCTATTATGAGCAAAAAGGGGGAGGGAAAGTGTACCTCTTTTCTGCTCCTCAAAAAGAAATCCTTCTTCCTATACATAAAGTTTCGAGAATCCTCATAATACAATAAACCATCTATGTACAATATAAAACATACTCACTTCCTCTACAAAAGAAGATCTACCAGGTTTTGTGCAGTTTCGGTATCCAGCAGCAAAGCTAGGCTGCTGGGTAATGTGCATTCCTCTGGTCCTGTTCTAGGTATGTCTCCCCAGGGTCTGGCACTTTTAGCTAAAAAATGAGAATATGACCACTCAAGTCACCCAATACAGAACAGTGGAGGGAAAAGTGGTAATTCACCACCATTCACGGTCCTTCATGATAAGGAAACTAGAGACAATTTCCCTTTTACTTTTTTGTTTTTTTTAAGAGACAGGGTCTTGCTCTGTTGCCCAGGGTAGAGTGCAGTGGCATGATCATAGCTCACTGCAGCTTCAAACTCCTGGGCTCAAGCCATCCTCCTTGCCCAGTGAGTCCTGAGTAGCTGGGACTACAGGGGTATACCACCATACCCAGCTAACTTTTTATATTTTGTAGTGACAGGGTCTGGCCATGTTGCCCAGGCTGGTTTCAAACTCCTGGCCTCAAGTGATCCTCCCACCTTGGTCTCCCAAAGTGCTGAGATTATAGGCAGGAGCCACCTTGCCTGTATTCAATTTCCTGTCTTTTTAAACTTTTTTTCCTCTCTCGCTTTTTTTTTGAAAGAGTCTCACTCTGTCACCTGGGCTAGAGTGCAGTGGCATCATCACAGCTCACTGCAACCTCAAACTCCAGGGTTCAAGCAATTCTCCTGCCTCAGCCTCCTGAATAGCTGGGACTACAGGTGCTGCCCAACACACCTGGCTAATTTTTCTATTTTTTAATAGAGACAGGGTCTCGCTCTTGCTCAGGTTGATCTCCAACCCCTGACCTCAAGCAATCCTCCCACCTCAGCCTCCCAGAGTGCTGAGATTACAGGTGAGTCAATTTCCTTTCTGGGGAGCTACAGCACCTTAGTAGCACACTTATTGTCAGTATGGTTTGGGGAATATGTAGGGATTACCTAAGGAGGTATTTACTGAGGAATTTAAGGCTTTTCCTATTGAACATTTTCTTTTTCTATAAATGCAATTCCAGTAAAATATCACTAATTTGCCAGTCAATTTACATTATGTTATGAATAGCTCCCCAGGGTGGCGACTAAAAGCAGATACTATGTCCAATCCCAGGGCTTGAATCTGGTTGGCAGTGATGGGGTTCTGTCTCTTACCACAGCTAAGGCTCACTGGTCCTCAGTTTACTGCTTCTAGAAGCCTTGACCTCTGCTTCCTAACAAGAGGCTGAGAAATTAATGTGGTTCATTAAGGAGTGTCTAAATGGAGTTCTTGTAAAAAATACTTTTTGGATGATAATTCATCATTGTTAGTATAATTCTGATTTAAAGTATGCATTCCAATTATCCTTGGGATGAAAATGTCTACCATGTGAATCTGATCTAAAAAAATTAATGGTTGCCAGGGGTCGAGAGACAAAGGGATGAATGGGCAAAACACACAGGATTTTTTTTTAAAGACAGGCCCAGTCTATATTATTTTCAATTGTTCTATCTTTGCTTCTAACAATGTATTGTTGGGGGTTGGGCACAGTGGATCATGCCTATAATCCTAGCACTCCAGGAAGCCAAGGGTGAGAGGATTTCTTGAGGTCAGAAGTTCCAGACCAACCTGAGCAACACAGCAAGACCTTATCTCTACAAAAAAGAAAAAAAAAAGTCATCTGGGTATGATGTCACCAGCATCAGCAAGAGAGACACCCCATCTCTACTAAAAATAGAAAAAATTAGCTGGATGACTGAGAATAGAAAAAATTGGTTTCCAAAACTTCCACCATCATCTTCATCTAAAGGAAATTCTGAGTTAGCAAGCTGTTACTAGATTTTGTTATGCAGAACTGGGATCAGGTTGAGAAAGGGCTGGAAAAAATGCAAGGATTGTTGTTTTGGGCGGTTTTCTCACTTTCTCACTGTGGCCCAGGCTGGAGTGCTGTGGCACAATCACAGCTTGCTGCAGCCTCCAACTCCTGGGCTCAAGTGATCCTCCCACCTCAGCCTCCTAAGTAGTTAGACTACTGGTTCATGCCACCAGCGCCAGCAGAGGATTGGTTTTCAAAAGAAAAATATCACTGAGTGAGGATGTGGCAGGGTGAAGAGAAGGTCCAGATGACCAGTTCACACAGGTTTCTGGCAGGGAGTAGAGAATGGGGAGGCCTTTTTGGTTGAGGATGGGTGTGCAATTTGTGAGAAAAGATGGAGAGAATGGTTTTTAAGATTTTTGCAGCACATTAATAATCTACTCCCCCAACCATCTGTAACTGCATTCAACTGCTTTTTTCCTATATGCTCATTATAGAAACTAGGGCCTTGTAGTCTATGTAAATCTCCAGCCTACTCACATTATAACACTATTTATTTGACGTTTCTGTGCCAGGCATTGTGATAAGCACTTAAACATGCTTTTTCTTATTTGACCCTCAAAAAAAAAGATAAAACGGGGAGGAGGGGCAAGGGCAATATATACGTAACCTTAACATTTGTACCCCCATAATATGCTGAAAAAAATAAATAAATAAAAAATAAAACAACAACAAAACAAAATTTTGAGTTTGCTATTATTATCATTTCAATTTCAAGGATAGGAAATTCAGGTTCAGAAAGGTAAAACGATATTATCTATACTAGTTAAGGAGTGGGCCAAGATTTGAAGTCATGCCTTTGAGACTCCTTCATTGAACAAATATTTAACAAGGGCCCCCTCTGTGCCAGGCACTCTAGGACCCTGGCTCTACAGAGGAAGCAGACAAAACCCTTTCCCTCATGGAGTCCACCTCCTGGGCTAACAAGAACGACATCTCAGAGAATTAAAGATGTTATAAAGACAATGGGGCAAGGAGCCGCTCCGTAAGGAGTCCCAGGGGCTGAGAGACATCAGCCCTTAACCAGGGCATTACATTACCGTTCTGTCAGCCCCATCTCGGAGCGGGAGGCGGGTGGGGCGCCGGGATGGGCGGGCTGGGTCGAAGGTGGCTCTCCAGGTGCGGGCCCCCGGGGCTCCGGGCCCGGCCACCACTGGCTGGGACGCCCGCAGAAGGGCGGGCGCCGGGACCACGGACACTTCTCACCATGGTCCTGCCGCTGACTGGCGGCTCCGGGGACCCAATGGACCCGGCCGGCAGCGACTGTTGGGCCCGCCCCGCGCCCACACCCCTCGCTCCCGCCCGGGAGACCCTCACCCTGCCGGGTCCCGGCCACACCACAGTGACCCCTGCCTGGCCCTAGGGGTCCCCACAGGTGACTCCGACCCGGTGACCCAACCTAGCCCCAGGCCTGTCCCCCCAGGTGACCCGACCTAGGCCCGGACCCCTGCCTGAGGTGACCCCGACCTGGCCGCAGGACCTGGAGGTCTCCGCGCTCCCGAATTGAGGCCATGACTGGGCCACACTCTGGGATACCGGGTCTTCTCCCATAAACTCGACGCCCACGCCATGGCCAAATTCCAGAAGGTTCCTGGCCCTCATCCCGCCTTCCCTTGGACAGGAGCGACGAGCCACCTGCGAGGGGCCCAAGAAAGGAGGAGCTCTGGGGAGAGCGCGGAGGGGAAGTGGGAAAAGAGCAACGAAAGGGGAATTTCCCGATGTGATTACTTCGACTGCTGTGACAAGCATGTGCACAAAGCCATTCTCCTCAGGGCCCGCAGCACCCGCGCTCGGCGTCGCACTGGGAACCTCCACCGCGGTACCCCGGCGGAGGTGGACGTGGACGTGGGCGCGGGCGCCACGCAGGCGCGACGCGCACCCGCAGCGTGGCCGACTTCGCGCGCGCCGACGCGGACGGCACGCGCGGGGCACTGCGCAGGCGCGGGGTCGGGCCGGCCCGGGCAGCCGAGGCGGCCGGGGACGAACCGGGCACCCGCAGGGGCAGCCGACTGCGCACGCGCAACCCAGCGCGCCCCCTGCAGGCGCCCGCGCGGCCGAGTGCGTCCGCCCGTCGCGGGTCGCAGGCACCGCCTCTCCGCAGGGCGGCGTCGCAGCCGTCAGCGCCGGCTGCCGCCGCCCGTGCGAGGCTGGAGCGCAGCCGCGGGGCGAGGGAGGGGACCCCGCGAGAGGCTGCGCGCCGCCGCCGCCCCGGCGCTGAGGGTCGGTGAGTGTCTCCGGGACCCGGGGCTCGCGGCTCCGGGCCCGCCTCCGTGCCCGGGCTCGCCTTTCCCACCCTCGCCGGCCGGAGTCCCGGGCCGCCCGGGCCCGCCCTGCTCCCCGCGCTGCGCCCGGCTCCCGCAGGTGCGGCTCCCGCGGCGGAGGGGGCTCTGCCTCGCGCGCCTGGGTGTGTCCGCGGCACTGCGGGCAGCTTCCGAAGCCGGCTCCGCGCGGAGAAACTTCACCTCGCCCGAGCCGGCGTCACTGCGGAATTCTTTGTGCGGAGCCGGGCGGCCGACCTTTGGCACCCGGCAGCCCTGGTGCGGGCAGACGCGCCGGCTCCTGCCGCGCACCCCTGGGCGTGGCGACCCGCGTCCCGGGCTGGCTGGCGACAGAGGCAGGGCCGCAGGGATGCCCGGCTTGGCTCCGCAGGCTCCCGGCGTGGGTGGGAATGGGTCCCTGCCCCCACCCCCTCACTCCGGTCAGCCCCTGAGGGGGATCCATCCAGCCGCCCACCGTCAGTGGTGGGAGCCTGCGTCGCCCTCCCCTGTGGGGTGTCGGAGCGGAGGGGCCGGCAGCAGCCCAAGGGCCGCCTCGCCCTCCCTGGTGGCCATGGTCGCTGCGTGCGCGCTATGAGTTGGTGTTCCCTAGGTTCTGGCTCCTTTCCAGGACGACTCCAAGCTCCGTGGGGGCCCGGCCTGTCTTCTGAGCGAGGGCTCAGGGTAGGCAGATGCTTGGTGTCGATTTGTTGCCTGGAGGGATGTCTCTCCACACTTCCTTGTACATGGCTGAACGAGAGTGTGTCATTTCTGTTTGTTTGCCTGTCGGCCTCCTGGACTGCAGCTCCTTGAAGGCTCGGGTGGGATCGCGTTGGTATTGGTATTCCTGGCACATAACAGGTGCTCAGGAAATGCTGGGCGAATGAGTGGCTAAGACCCTCTGACCGCGGAGGCCCGGGGCGAGGTGCAAGTGGAAGAGTTTGACAGTTTTCTTCTGAGCAGCCATATCATTTTATTCAGAAAGTCTGGGTGCCACTTTTTGTAAACTTGAAAACACTAAGACAGTTTCCTTTTAGCGAGTGGGTCTGGTGGGAAATGTAAAACAAAGGGGGAAACAGGTAAAAATGCATGCCATGGGAATTTCCCCATGCTTTATCTTAACTCCACAGGGAATGTTTTAACTGAACCTTCGCTTACCATATCTGACAAAGAGGATGACATCTTTCCCTCTCTACGGTGATCTGCCACCATTCTGACCAGACAGCCTTTTGGAACAAGAGGGTAGCTGCAGTTGTTTCTAAAAAGACATTAGTGTTCCACAGTGCATGTGCCAGGCAGTCTCATGGGAACCTATTTTGTCTTAGTCTCAACTGGGAAGGCCCAGGTAAGATCCCTAATTTACAGTTTTTTCTCCAGCCCTGCTTCTCAAAATGGCACAGATGTCTCAGCTGTTGAGCCTGTGCAGGGGAAGCCTTTAAAACTCTGGAGTCTGCCCTGGTGGAGAAGGCTCTGCGCCTGATTGAAAGATAAACTGGACATGGTCCCCCCTCTTAGAGACCTTAGGATGGAGCTAAAGAGGTGATAGATATATTCACAAATTGCTGTGACATAAAATGGAACAAGATGAGTACCACGTGACATGTTGAGAAAAGGTGCTGCAGGTGCCCAGAGGTAGAGGAGAAGTGGCTGGGTCTCCACCAAGGCTGCACATTACAATCCCCTGGGGAAATGTTCCCATTCCCAGAAGAGCCCAGAATCTCCAGGGGTGGACCTCAGACATCAGTTTCTGTCTTAAAGTGCCCCAGAAAATTCCACTGTGCAGACAGCCAAGATGAATGAATACAAACCCCTGCCTGAAACAGGCTCATCAGAGACTGCTTCACAGAGGGTGTGGTGCTAGAAGCAGGCTGGGAAGTGACAGGTAGGGTTCAGCAGGTATGTTGGGTGATAGCCTAAGCAAACAAAATGCTGAAGGCCCCCAGTTTGTGGGGAAGAGTAAGGTGCATCAGTCGTTGTGCTGGGAGAATCCTGCAGCTCCCATTCCTTTGAATGGCTCAGAGGGTTTGCGGCATTTGGAGAGGTTTGGAGGCAAGAGGCAGATAGGCGCCTTTGAGGGAGCTGTGTAATGAGGTCCTTACTACCTGGCTTGTTACAGAAGATCCATGGTTACCTCTCTCTGGGGATTCTCGATTGCCTCATTACCTCATTTCCTACCCTAGAGAGGCAGAACAGCCAGCCAGACAGGGAAATGAGACTGAGGCCGCAGCAAGGGTTAGGGAAGATTTTGTGGAACTCTCTCCCAATAGCATCCTTTAAACCACATCTATGGCTTAAAAATACACCCTGCCAACCCCTTCAAGGAGCTTCAGTGTAAACCCAGAGCCTTGTGATCCTGGACAGCCACTTCCTACCCTGGACAGAGCTGGTGGTGCTGAGTGTGAGAACCAGTGCGCTGGGACTCCACCTGGGCTGCTATGCGGATGACCACAGCCTCCCGCCCGGCCTCAGGGGCTCTGGGACAGTGGATGTGGCTTGTGCATTTGTTCCCATCTTATCCGAACAAGGGCTGCTGTGTAAACAAGTCATCCTCATACTTTTTTCTGTGCACTGCTTTATGTGCAAGAATTTGAGCATCAATGCAATATATATATATATATATATAATTTAATTATAAATTAAAGCCATATACTATAGTCATGATATATGGCGGACATAGAAATGTACAAAAATATAGGTCTTTTAAAGAGGTGAGAGGTGAAGTAAACATGATTATGTTTTTCCGACATATAAGTGGTACAAAAACTATTGCATAAACATGTTTTCTTAAAATGAAAGCCATATGATCAAGTCCACAACCCATGTATGCACGCCTTGTGAAACTTAAGTGCAGCATTTGAAGGTCTGGTTCTAAGTTCTGTTTATTTCAGATGCTGTTCCCTGGAGTGTTCACAAGTAAACACTGTACACCTGGTACAGGAGGGGACTCATTTTTCTATCCCAGTCACCAATCACGTGAGGGCCCTGGATGAATTTGGGCTGATGTATGATCAGAGGCTATCAGGGAAGGTGGGACTTCTGGTTTTGAAGGTTTTTTAGTGTGCAGGTATAAGTGTTCAAGTAGATGATATTCTTGTACCATCATTGGCAATGCACTCACATCTTCAAACATCTGTTTTCACAAATGCACTGTTCTTGGCACAAATTATTTTGAAAACTGTAACTCATGGCATTGTTACCTTTTCCTTGAAGGGACAGATTTAAGTGTGTTTGTTTAGAAGAAAAAAGTAGCCAAGCATGGTGGCTCATGCCTATAATCCCAGCACTTTGGAAAGCTGAGAAGGGAGGATTGCTTGAGGCCAGGAGTCAAGATCAGCCTGCGCAACATAGTGAGACCCACATCTCTACACAAAAAATAAAAAATATTAGCTGGGCATGGTGGCACATGCCTGTAGTCCCAGCTACTCAGGAGGATGAGGCAGGCAGATCACTTGAGCCCAGGACTTTGAGGAGGGCTATGATGATACCACTGCACTCTAGTCTGGGCAACAAAGTGAAACCCTATCTCAAAAGAAAAAAACAAACAAAAAAAAAACCCAAAAAGGCTAATTGACACACTCCTACAGTCATTGAGAAAAAAGGTCTCTGGATTTGAAACTTTTCATGAAGTCATAGACAACCAGTGAACCTCCATATCACACAAAAGATAACTAATGGTCACTTACCCAATCAATACAAAGTAGTATAAAGCTTTGGCTATTTTGGGGTCTTGTTGTCATTGCTTGTTAATTGAACACAACCATAATATCCTGAAGCATGTAAACTCCAGCATGTCTGAGATGCCTAAAGTCAACTTGTGGATGAGGACCCACTGTCACCGTCCCCACCCACGTCACAGGGCATCTCTTCCTCCTCTGTCAGGATGCCGTAGCCCTGACGCACAGGCTGGCACTAGCACCAGGCTCCATCTACCAGTAAAACCAATGTTTTCCCACTTTTTTTTTTTTGAGATAGAGTCTCACTTTGTTGCCCAGGCTAGAGTGAGTGCCATGGTGTCCTAGCTCACAGCAACCTCAATCTCCTGGGCTCAAGTGATCCTACTGCCTCAGCCTCCCGAGTAGCTGGGACTACAGGCATGCGCCACCATGCCCGACTAATTTTTTGTATATATATTTTTAGTTGTTCAATTAATTTCTTTCTACTTTTAGTAGAGACAGGGTCTCACTCAGGCTGGTTTCGAACTCCTGACCTCGAGGAATCCGCCTGCCTCAGCCTCCCAGAGTGCTAGGATTACAGGCCTGAGCCACTACGTCTGGCCTGTTTTCCCACATTTTTAAAGAGAAATACTGATAAGTAGATTTTCTCACCATTCCTTCACTGCCACGGACTGTCTTGCTCACCCCACTCAGAGACCACTAGTAAGGTCCGTGGGCAGGAACCATACTCTGTAAGTGTGCCTGCTGTTTTCAGCCTGTTGTTTTCACAATATTTAATGGTGTTTGGGCATTTTATCCAGAGGCTCCATTGAATTGAAATTTTCAAATATTTATTTCATTCACCAACTCCCCCCCCCAAAAGATAATATACTGGGTAAAAGATTAAACCAAACCCTACCCCCTCAAGCATTGTCACTGCACATTTGTACATACCCCAGTCCCCTTCTTGGTGCAGCACGCAAGGCCCTG